GGGAGTAACACGCTCATAAAGTTTCCCCTAAGAAAATAAGGATAATTATTTATCTTTACACAAACACGAAAGAAGCATTTTCTGATACAATAACAATAATTGACTCGTGCCTTATACATATTCTATTTTGAAAGTGTAGGAAAACGTATTACCTACTCAGACTGCGACCTTTCAGCGGAAACATTAGTTTAGGTATAATGTCACCGTCAGAATGTCGACGACACGTGTTTATATCGATGTTTCTCGATACGCAATTAGTACCAATCCTCAAGCCCAGTGTTACGATGATTAATTTTATCATATTTATTATGTTAACTTACTTTTTTATTAGAAGGTTCATCAGAATCCGTGTAGTTAGTTTCCTGCTACGGATCACTTCAGTTCAAACTAATTCACCAATTTGCACATGTCAGGTAATTCAGTAAGCCACATCCAATATTCAAAGTAGGCCTCGCTAGATGGCGCGCGTGTGGTCGAGTCGCGTGCGCAATGTAACCGGAGCGACACGCGCAAGTAATCCAATATGGCCGCCCGTGTCTCTCGCGTATCGGTACATTGCAGGAATGGCATTTTAATATCCCGCACTTAATGTCACTTATTGTTTACTTAGTTCATCGAGCCAGCGAAAACCACAATGGCTTTATACATAACTAGAGTTAGAGCTAGTTACCAAACAAGTTTCGATGCTAACTGACATAATAGTGAATCTTACATTTAGTAAGAATATTCCATAATGCTCGGTAAGTGGATGTAAACAAACAAAGATTGCATTAACCGATTTTTGCAGCACACCTTGGCGTTGCACAATGGTGCGAAAGCTGGCGCGGCGCGGCAACAATGCGTCGTTGCTTGTATCTGTGCATGCGCATCTCGCGGTGGCTCGTTAAGCCGCTGGGGGCGGTTGTTTGTACTGCGATGGGAGCTAGCTCTCAGCTGAGTTATGAACTTATGACGGCCGCTCGTGATGAACACCTATACTGACAAATCTTGACTCTGTAGTTGAATCTAAATGTTGTGTATAATCAAACTGGCAACGCTAAATCAATTTGAGTTGCGATGTCGTAATTTTGCGCAAATGCCGAGGTTTAACTCGCTTTTGCTGTTAGTGTTAAAGTTGAAATAACGTTACAAACTTGAATGCTTCGAGTAGAAGCAGTTTTCGTTTTACCGTACTGTCATCATACGTTATCAAGTAAAACGAAACCTAATCATATGATAAATCAGGTCAATCAGCAGCACAAATGTAAAATCGCACATAAAACAGTAATTTAGCTTCGCGTCGATAATGTCGGCTCGTCAGCATTGTAAAAGCTTTCATATCAATTGAATCCATTAGCTGAGTACACAAGACTTGTCTCTCTATTTGCTCATCAGTTTTTATCATTGGCCAGTCCATGTTTGTTCGATCGCTCACTACGTTATTGATGGGCTGTTTCCCTATAACATGTCATATTTGCAGTTTGGTGACGTCATTTGCCACACAAATTACAGGTGACAAAGACTTTTTATTTGGAGCCATAAGAACTGCGATTGGTTGCACTTGCAACTACGTATTACTTTACAAATATACTTATTTTATCTTAACTGTTAAAAAAGAGTATTTAATTTACTGATTTCTTTTAATTATTTACCTATTGCGTTAGATAAATAAGAAAGTTTTGATAAGTTAAATATCTTAAGTTCCGTAACGTCAAACTAGATGGCGCTAGGTGTATCTAGATAATACAACATCTCGACAACACCACTAAAGTTTACCGGCAACAAGGTATCACTCGTCTTACATTACATTTTATATTTAAATTAAACGCTTTCTTAACGCAAATAAATACGAATCTTGACCGAGGCGCCATAAAGTGCTCACGGGCTATCGGCGCGCGCGCCATTTGTCCGTTGACCAGCACTTAGCTTAACAAAAACTGATAGTTGTTAAACAAAATAGCGTAACAAAACCGAGGCAACAAGATCGGACCATTTGGTACAGAAATAAACTAAGCAGTAAGAATTAACAGGGATAAAGGCTTAAAAGAGTAGCCGAAGCAGATTTATGTCGCAATGATCGCAATCGGCCGATTCACCGTGTTACAGCCGTTTTGTTTTTTAGTTTTGATCAAGAATTCGTTGATGTACCGCTTTTGGAATTTCATCTGACCGAGAAGAAATTTTTTGTTCTGATTTAACAATTGGTTTGTCTTCGTGAGTGTTTTACTAATGAAATACATTTCGGCTCTCAATTCAGGTATAATATTAAAAACCTTAGAAAATTTTGAACGAAATATTGCCCTTCAAGGATAAGATCCACAAACCTATCATAATACATCAACACCTCGAAAACCTTTTTCGACACATGTTATATCAAACTCCCAACAAAACGCACTTGAAAAGGCCACAATATGACACCTATTTCCCATTCATTGGCACTCTATTTACACGTACGAATCGACACCAGTTTATCACGCACTCCTTTGCTACCCCTCGCCAGTTATCTGATAAGCCGGTGAATGCAAAACATTTGTCTGCTCCAACCCATTCTGTACTAGTGTAAAAATCGTCAGCGAATGTTCTAGATAGTGATCTGTCATTTGCAAGTACGAGGGGACCTAGCCGACTGTGTTTACTTAGTCGCTCATAGTTATGGTGGTCTTTTGTGGGTTAAAAATGATTTCAGTTTGCGTGTTTAGATTTCAAAGCCGTTTTCGCGTGATATACCTACATATATTGTAAGAATGGTTACACCATGAAGTAATTATTTTTCTAAAAATAGCAGTAATTGGCGCCTTTTTCTCTTTAAAAAATAACTTACGACCTTTAACCGATCCTGAGACTAGCAAGACGTCCAGTAAATATGAAAAAAGAAAAGACTCGCATAATTACGGCTACATACAAAGATGTTCATAAACGCTGCCAAGATGGTAGAAAACGCAACTAAAGGGTGAACCCAGAACTGATTGATCCTTGCAAAACATTAAAAGGATCAAAACAAAGAATCATATAGAAGGCACATAAGAAACAAAACTGGCCAACTATAGCCCGATTCAGCCAGTAACACCTATCAATTGAGTCGGAGCGGAGCGAGCGGCCGATTGCCGTAATTTATATAAAAAGAATTTCATCGGTAAAGTTCGCCAGACACATCGATTCGAAAAAATGTTTCATCAACAATAATTTTATTATCGTAATAACAAAATTACTGGGTTTGCTCACGTACGAATTTGATCCTTAAATATATGGAGAGTATACGTTTAGCATTTGCTTATATACCAGGGGGAGAAATGGAACCTTTTGTTGGCCTATAGCATTATTATTTCTCATTTTGTTTTGTTTATTAATACAATTGGCTGGAGGCGCAATATTGATATTCAAGTTTGATGATGACTCGCGCCAGTCTCCTCCCTGAGCTCTGTATTTTTATGAGTTTTTATAACAATTGTGTTTTGTTGTTTCTCTTTAGTCAACAGTAAATTGAATATACTGTATAAACATTTATTAAAATTATATTTTTGTACATTAAAAACATTATAGCGAGTTTTTATGGAACTAAGCGCAGTAATTGGAAGATAAAAATAGTAAGCGAAGCGTTCATCGACAATGAAAGAAAATTATTTTTACACGTTGTTCTCATACCATAAAGCACGGATTATTTCTCATGGAGAAAACGAAATGACGTGAATAAATAACTCGCAGAAATATCAATTAAACAATTATGCTGTCCGAATGGAATCGTGTGTAATGATAGTGGGCCCGGCTATAACTCAGGCGCATCTGTACTACGGCTATTTGCAAAAGGCACGACATGGGCCGTGCGCGCTCTCTACGTACCCAGCCCTGTGTCTAGTGTTAGCTTAGCTTATCTATTGTTTTACATATTTTATAATATTGCTTATTTAATATTAATTCACAAGACAACATTCCATTTTTATCAGTTTCATCACCTGATTTAGAACGTTCAAAGGCTTTTACATCTTCTGGGTCATGTTTTAAGGGCTTAAATATTAGAAATGTGCAGCTACAATGTCAAAGATCCGCCTGCAATAATTACGAACATTAGAAACCCTCCGACCGCCTCGGGCAACAGGTGTCAACAACGAAAAAGTTTTCGAGCGTCAAAACTTAAGTGATCGGTCAGTCAAGTCGATGTAAGAAAATATTTCTTAAGCACTAAAGGCAGTAGGTCTCAATAAATAAAGTGCATGTTTATGTCGTAGTTAATTGACAGAAACACATAAATACTTGTATCATAAAACGAAGCCTGGAGCGTTTCCATACGTGTTGGGCGCACATATCATACAAGTACCTATAATGTACAACAAAACTGCTGTTTACCGACTATTTTCTAATTTTAATAATTTCGCGTAATAACGCAATAAATAGACAACATATAATGCGATGCAAATGAAACGTGTGTCGTTAATACGCGGCCGGTACGAGAATGTAGAGCTTACAGGTTAAAATACGTGATCCAAGATTCTAACAGCGGCTAATCAATGTTGCTTATACGTCAGATTACGCAGAATCGATTCACGCGAGATCTCGACTAATATCGATTATAACATTTACATCGATACGGCTTCCTGCATGTTACAGTGTCTCCATATAATAATCTATGATAATTTCATATGTAAATTCTGAAACGGTGCCTTCGTATTTCTGAGAAATTGGTACCCACCTATGTATTTGCTACTCTTCAATGTTCGCTATTTAATAATGTGCATATTATTCTGCGACAGCTCCGTAATTACTCGAACTACATACCAAATACACGAGGATCATATTATTGAACCATCATAAACATACCTACGGAAATCTTAACCCTGAATTATCTCTACTTTCCAAAGGTCCTTTCTTTCTCCCCCAATAATGTGACAAAACACAAAAATATGAGATCTTCAAAACTTCAATGCTACCAGTCCAAATCACCACCGATCTAAAATGATATTTTGCTCTTTCTTCACAAGCTAGATAAAAATGGTATTATACACTGGGTCCAAAAAAAGTTTACATACCTTTTTCATAACTGATTTGCCTCTCCTGTTGCCGGGCGTTATCAGCAGCGACTTTGAGCAGCCCCTGTATGTTTCTCAGCAATGTCTCAGTGGAGGAGACGAGGGTGTCGGCTGTAGGGTCCACGGGCATTGGGTGGTGTGCCGGCCTGTGCTGCGTAGCTCACAGGCGCCGGCGACGCTGATACAGGCAGCTCACGCTCCCCGTCACTCAGATCTCCACCTAAACAAAATGATGCTGTTGATAAAATATATTGGGTTTGTCATTCATGGAATCATGGTATAGTTTATTATTTAGTAATTTGGTTCACTTAGAAATATTTAGTAGACGAACAAGCAGAGTTAATCACAACAGATAGGCAAACCCACCTCCATATTTCGAAAATATTAAATCTAACCTCTGATTCATTTGCATATCACATATTAATTTAAGACTAAAGTAGTGAATCACGAGCACATCCTTGTGACTATAATTAACGATTATTAATTTCAATAACAGCTTCATAAGAAGTCATATGTAGGTAGTGTATGGAACAAAAAAAACCTTGCAATACCGACAAACGAGGATATTCGAGAATCGCGTGCATGTATCATTCGGTTCGCAATTATTGTAGCGATGAACATCGATATCGCGTGGTGATCATCGGCGCAGGGCTTTGATGGAGTCCGCCGAGCGTGGCCTGCTTATTCGGAAATACATTTCGAATGACGCAACGTTAACGATCGTAAATATCACTTGTCACCCGCGACACAATTGCCAATAAAAAGCGTTAAATTTCTAATAACGACAATTATTAACCTAATTTCAACCATTGCTGTTGATTTAAACATGCTCAATAACTGTGGTTTAAAGGTTACAGCTAGATAAGCACTAAATCATCTGTTAAGAATTACTTAGATACATAAATGTAACGATTCCAATGTGCAATTTTCCGATAGGTCGTCTTCATGTTCACAGAATAGGGATACCACAAAGCCATTCGACACCGAATGGGCTGTCTCTAACCGATTTATATGCCCCGCTGCACCATACCGCAAGTTATTCGCTACGAGGACGGCCCAGCTATTCGAATATTATATCGATTTTATTCCGTAATTACTCGCTTGGCATTTCAGACAGAGACATTAATTTTGAAAATCTGATGTCAAAGGTACCTTTAAATTTTTTGACTGTAATCACCTACTAGACTCCAACGTCCATCGGACGTGATGAAACATTATAGGTATTTATAATTTTAAAAATGACGAGATAATTACAATAATGTACGGCTTATGTCAATAACGGACCTCACACATAAAAAAAAGTTTCGATTGGCGTCTCTCACGGTCCAAAATAATCTATCGATACATTTAATTTAACTGACAAGATAGTGACCGCTCATCAAATAATGAAGACAACATCGTTTCGTCATTGTCGATGCGCACGATAGCACTCTCGGGTTGTCACAACACCATCTCCCTAATAAGGCCAATTAACAGGATCCTAAGAAATTTAAACAAACGAACCTAAACTCTATAACTAATACTAAGGACGCAGAATCAATCGGCCCGTGCGACCGAGGAAAAGACTTCACGGATATAAAACCAAATTAGATCCGAGATGAGAACGTTGATTGAAAGCAAAAGGTATCTTCAGACGAACAAAGATCAAAGTTGAATGACACGAGCTTTATAAAAAGCATTTTTGTAATCAGACTGGGGCGATCGTGACGAGCATGAATTACGTATCGACAGAATTAATTGTAAATAAACTATGAATATTAAAATATAAAATGCGACTAATTGTAAAAGTCTAAGTAAAGACGAGTAGATCTACGTATTGATTTTCATAGTGAATGTTTTGTTTGCACAAATTTCCCGAGGCTCATCCCGTGGTTCCGTGGCTAGGCGAGTATTTCCTATAAATCGTAGCCAGTTATCCGTTCCCACGGTCTTCGGGCATTTTGTGTGCAGCTTGCAATAACCAATACACAATCCTTATTGTTTCACTTAATTTAGCTATTGTATAGACCAAGTATTTACATTTGTGGATCAATGTTATGATTGGCACCGTCGCGCCGTACGGTTACAGCATTCACGCCATTTCTATGCAATAGAAAATGTTCAATCATAAAATTGCATTCTCATAGTTAGTAGAAATTCTTTATGGCTTATTTAATAAAGAAGCAATAAAAGTTCTAAATGTTATCTCTTGATCTAAATGCGCTTGCAATGTTGAACCGTTATTTTTTCCATTAAGAACTGATTTTACGATTTTCCCATTCTATTTTCAAATGGCTGTAATTGCGTTTATAACTTAGTGACGTCGGCCTAATAACTAGTTTTCGCTTGATTGATGATCCAGAGGAAGATAGTATACTAAATTGATTAAAATATTTAGTACGGCAATAAACTCATGAATAAAAAGCTGAGAATAAAACGAACCTAATACATGTCGTCGGAGAAATTGTCATGCCATCCATCATTTGAGTCTAATGGTGTTAATAGTTCATGATATATGATGGTTAACTAAACATACGAGGCTTTTCTCGTGATTAAATATTATTACTTGTACACGGTGAGACACGGACGACAGTATGGCTGGGAGATATTATTATCCGAAACACTCATTACGAAATAAGGGTTTAAACAACACAAGGTCTTGAACTCACGTGTAAAATTGAATTGAGTCCTTTTAAGCGCTATTCATACATCATTGGGGGCAATTGCGAGCGATACTCGTAATAAGATTTTATTATATAGGACCATTACAAGCAAACGTGCGGTGTCTAGGGATCAAGATGGGAAAACGTATGGGAACCCAAGAGCATGATCATTTGCTAATCGACCGCCAGGATGCGTTGGCGCTGCAGTCTCTATTGATTCTATACTATTACTTCTCTGCTGCAACATCGACTCACTAGTGGAATTGAAACGATTTTATATTAGTAATTTAATTAATATGGAGTACTTAAGAGCAATACAAGTCGATTGTAAACTAATTAACATCAGTTTATACGTTGTACAATGTTTCAATGTAAAGCTATTTTACACAAGTATTTCCAGTCTAGAATAAAAGGAATCGTGGTTTTATGGCTGATAATTTCCGAACTATGAATGCTGAAGGTTCCAGGGCTATTACTGGGTAATTTCGCTGTGCATTACATGCCAAGTATATTGAGCGGGTGATACCCAGCCCGTGTTAATGTTACACGGACACTTTCTTGTCATGCCTACAGCCGCGCCGTGATTACAGCGGAAAGATCGACTCATTTATCGATACATCTAATTTATATTAAATTAAACAGATATTCATCGCTGTGAAATTGCGATTATTACCCATATTATGTACATGGAAGTAAATTGCTTGTCTTCATTTACTGCCTAGGGAATATATAACAAAGACGGAGAACGTAACAATATACTGACACTCAGCTTGTGTTAGTTATGCTTGAGTCAGTTGTCTTCTCACAAATATGTGAGGATTGTGTCAATTACGTACATAACAGAACACTTTGTTCATATAGGGGATAATACTTAGACCGATTCATTCAAATTGTGACGATTTCTATTGTTTTCAATGAAAATATTTTAAAGAAAACTTACCGTCGTCCTCGTCTTTGACATTATGATCCTCCTGGTCTGAAAGCTGTGCATCGCTTTCATCGGAGTGTGACCTTGGACTAGCGGCTGCGGTTGCAGCGGAGGGCAGCCGTGGAGGCTGGGGGCTTCGCCGGGACGCGGCAGAGCTTCGCCCACTCGCGGAGCCTTCACCCCGGTCATTGCGGTCTCTGTCGCTCCTCTCCGACCGATCCCGGTCACCTCCAGACCCGGATTTCGAAAGGTTCAGCACTGGACTGTGGCCTGGAGAAGAACCTGTTAGATTGATAGGTTAGCAGTTGATAATGCGTGATTATTTCTAAAGAAAATAGTAAAAGTTAAAGCAGTATTTTATTTTTTTTCTGTTTGGTGCTCTATCATACTTATTCGACAGCTCATTTAGGAATCGAATTTTTGTTTAGGTAAAGTATAATTGTCGTGGTCAGGTCTCCTTAGATGAGAAAGCTAGTGTTCCAATCAACCGCTAATTGTTTAGATTTATTTTACGACAATAAATTCAAACGTTAAAACTAATTAGAAAGTTTTGCATCGATTTGCAAGCAGTACGACTAGCGCTTTACTTTAAATTAAATTTTAATTGATACGATTTGTTCTCAACTGACTGTGGAGTTTAATGACGTGAACCACAATTAATGCGTTAAAAAAACAACAGCGGATTGGCCAACGGATTGTGAAGTTGAACAGTTGCTACTCACAAAAGTTATAGGTAACTAGCAATTTAAATGGATTCTGACACATTTTTCATTCACACTCATTGTATATAAGTAACTACTAAATAGTTATCTAATGATACTGTTTTGAGCACCGCTTCCAGCACGTTACAGCACTAATGTCATAGAATGGCGAAGAACTAAACGGGACTATGATAATCTCGTGACGATTATTATGTCTTACCGTTATGTGAACCCTCTCGAGCCTTATCCATCGCCATAACTCGTTCCATGTCGCCTCGTTCGTCACGCAATCTGCAACAATCAAATCGAACAATTAAAAACGTATATCAGTAGCATTCGATATCTCGTTAACGGAATCATATGTATGGCTGTCAGGGATCGGTCACGCTACCACGCAAAATGAATCCCAACAAAGCTACTTACAAACAATTTTATCATTTGAAACCATAAAGCATACTTCCCACTGAGTTGTGGAGCTACTACAAAGGCAGACGTATAATATTATAGAACCCCGCTGCGCTTCTTTGTGAACGGATGAAGACGGTGTATGTAATCATTTTGTATGCCGATCTCTGCCGCTCCTACCCTAATTCCGTAGGTCCTTTTTGATTGTGAATTATTGGACTTTTGATGCTTCCGTTCCGATTCTATTTTTATTAATATTTACTTATTAACTTTATGCTTACGTCTGTTTTAGATGTTTATGACGTTGAAATTTTTTTTACTACAGTAATTTGTATTCATACTTAGATACGGTACAAGACAAATAATCTAAGACACGTAAATAAAACATTCCTTTGAATAATCTAAAACCCTTCATAAATAATAATTACTTGCAAAAGTTATTGAAGACTGTATTTTTCAGAAAAGCGAATTATTTAATTTCAAAGGGTTGTGACGTAGCTAGTACAATTTTTGCGGAGTAATGCCTTTTGAGCATTTGAATATAAATGACGTCTGAAAGTGAAATGTAACATACATAATAAGTGGCTGTTTTAAGCCTTCGCAGAACCCTTTTGCGGATTACAGAGTAACGACAGAACAGAGAGTTCAAGGAATTACGTTATGGTCTGAGAAGTTTGACGAAGAAGACATTGATTTTATTTCAAAAGAAGAGAAAATAGATAGCATATCTTAAATTAATACTTTTCATAATTTTATAATGGATATTATTATTCCTTATATTTTTTAACTGTATTTAGCAGGTATGTTACCAAATATTATTTAAACAAAGCACGTGTTGCAAAATTCTGTATTCAAAACTCCAGTAAAATATTGACTTACATAAAAAATAAGTTTTAAATTACTATTTTGACAAGAAGTCATACAAATACAGAGCACGCCAAACCCATTTAACGACAAGATAATAAATTGACAATAATATTTTAAATAACATTGAACATAAAAAAGTAAGTTCGATTTCTGAACTCTCTGTGTCCCGTATACTCTGTGCTGACCCTCCAAATGTAGTCGTTTGGTACTTTACTGACGAGTCACGGAGCTACGTTTAAATTTAATATATTTTTCATTTCCCTCTACATTAATATGTAAATAATTCTTCAGACCATTCAAATCTTTTGATCGAGTTTTTATTATATAAACTGTACAAAATTTTTAAAGTACTCTTGTACTAATGTATTCATAGCTTAGCTATCATTTGATATGGTATATAAACTCGTTATGCGAATAAAATAAACGTTTGATAAATAATAAAGCAGGAAGTGCTCACATTTGTCATACGATTGTATCTGTATGAATAACTAATCAACCGTAAATCGCAAGGTTTTTTCTTTTTTCTCATACGTAACCAAACATCACACATATAGATATTTTTTGTCAATTAAAAGCTCTTAACAAGGATATCCCGAACCTTAACGAATCGGAAAGAAATGATCGACTCATCGCCTCTCGATCGGACAAAAGATAACAGTTCAAATCAATAAAATAATAAATTATTTCTACTTCCTCCATTTTATTTTTATCTTTACAAAAGTGTTGCTTTGATTGATGATGTTAGCTCGCACTTAAATTAAAACAGATATGGCTTATTTTCTAATGTTTGGTTACGAGGACGGCTTGAGATTATTCAGACTATCTATCATATCTATTTTGCCTTATCAATTTGTGTTTTTATGGGAGGATGGGATTTCCATTTTCTGTTTGTTTTCCGATATCTACTCGATTTTCCATTACACTTTTATCAATCGCATACTTACATATTAATCATTACAGTACATCGTTGGTAATACGAATCCACCGACAGAGTTCAAATTATTCACAAAAGTTATACGAAACTAATTAACTCCGTGTCTAACAAAATCTGTTGCAGCGATACGTTCATTACTATTTTCGCTAAACGATTTCGCAAATAAACAATTTTCATTAACTACAAACTGCAGTTCTAACGTAACATTCCGATGTAGATAAATTAACCAACACCCCATCTGTCGGCAGCAGCCATCATCAGTCTGCTAGCGAAATAATATTATTCATTCACTTGTCAAAACGCAAATTGGCGACGAATCGTTGCTAACGCAGTGGAATTATAAAATGAAAAACAATGGAGAGGCGTGAATCGCATTATTTTTGACAAATAGAAACAGAAAAAATGTGGTTGTGGTTTATGAAGTAGCATCGTAAAGAATTGAGACATTATAATGGTTGAGAAACCACTACAATTTTGTTATTATTAATAACGCATAGCGTTACCACAAAAATAGCACATAATGAAGTCCTACTAAGGTTAATATATGTAGTTAACTCTAACCATTGCCATTACAGAATGGGTAGTGGCCTAAACAGATATTCCGGTGCCACGAGCGCGGACAATGCGTTGCAATCTACCACCAAAGCCAACGCACGTTGATTAGTTAATACTGGACCGTTCACATAACCTAATGCCGCACTACCGACCGTTCCGAACCGTTCTTGTATGCATAATCTGATTAGCGCAAGTATTAAACAAAGCTTTAGGTAATAGTGCTGTCAATTTACATAACCGAATTCCATACTAAAACTGCAATATTAATTGAAGCCGTACAAACACAAGATCCATTTACTGTATACGTAATAAAGTCTATTTAAACGAACCCCGAATTTGCATTCTCAAGAATCGATTAAGAAAATCAAATCCTGTCGGAGCGTCACTGCGTAAAACATTTGCTTGACACCCAAATCAAAAATCGTTTTAGCTCACCCCAGCGAGGGGAGGATGGGGAAGCGTCGACGCCTCAACATTTATTATTTCAGACATATCACTCACATGCAAAACAAACTCCGTCCGATCCATCAAAAAGTTTCGTCTCATCCTCTCCCTCTGTACTCCGCAACACAAATCGAGTGTGTAAGCACCGCGGCTTCAAGATACCGATATTTATGTCTATTGTTTTATGTCCAATGACAGATTCGATTTCTTATAAATTTTGTTACACTTTCGTTTTGTTTGATCAAATATACGACCAACTTTAGACTGAAATATTATGGGGGGATAAAAAAAATAATAGAAAAAAAATCGAAATAATCCCAACCTTGAACAAAGAGTTTATAAGTTAAAGAATAAATAAGCTTGTTCATCCAAAAGAAATGAGCATTGTAACCCTCCAAACAGTCAACAAAGCTTCGAAGAAAATCGAGCGAAAAAAGGCTAAAAACACCTTAGGGGTTTACTAATCGAATAAAAAATATCAGCGACCGATGCCAATGTGTGGGGGAGAAATGGAATAAATTATAAAGAAAATACAAGTAGCAAAGGGGCTTTTGTTATGAGTAAAAAGTTCCAAGCATATGCAGATAACGTAATGTTGTGCTTTTGAAATGATGTTAAAGGCAATATTGGCGAGTAATAACGCGGTGCATCCATTCAAGAATAAATTTAAGCTAGCGTCTCGTATTACGAATATAATTTGTCTTTATTTTTACACAGTTGGCTATGTAAACATCAAAACATTCGTTGATAAAGATATTCAACAAATGTGTGAAATACGATACATGTACCAGGTAGTCAAATGGCCAAATAAACAAGAGGTTACAAAAAACTGCCATGAAAATTGGCTTAAGCTAGAAGAGAAATAAACAGTAATTTTCCTAATCAATGTGATTGTAGGTACAAACATTTAGGGCGGCCTAATGCTAAATAATAGGAAAGAAAGTAACATGATGACTTGTCGCCGGGCGGCGCTCCCTACGCATAAACGTCACGACGTCATTTGTAAAAATTGCGGCCTTACAACTTCTCCAATTTTCTAACAGAGATACCATAGAGCCTGTCACGACTAGATATTTCATAAATGGCTAAGAGAGTTTTGTCCACTCCGATATTTGTTCATTAATACAATATGTGCAGTGTAGGGTTTTGTACCTGTTATTTTTTGCTTTAAACGAGATTTGTGTGTGTGTAATGATTTCTTGATTAAAGAGATAACCAGTTTGAGCTGAATATCAAATAAAATAAAAACATAAACAGCCAAAACAAATCCTTGCACCAGAAGAAGAGAATATTTTTCTCAAATACACAACGACTCCACGCCAATGACATTCCCGAGCGGAAATATCCAACCAAAATAACCAAATTTGGGGGCGTCGAAAAGAAACAGTAGAGACAGTGGGACCTCCGCGGGGGAAACCGGAGACAGTTATTTAAATTTGAATAATATAACATGAAAAAAATTACATCATTTAATACCGTAATAAAAGTGCACTAAGCGACCGAAGCATTACGCTTGCCAAATACAAGGAGGGACATGCAAATTCCGCTTATGAAACGTGAAATGAAATATAAAATGTTTTTGGTGGAAAATAAAATATGTCTTTCGGAGCTTAGGAGCTCATTACGATATTACAAGTACGTGAGGAGATTTAAGTTGTCGTTGGAAAAGCTGTGAAGATGGACGATTTTTTAAGATGTTTTTAGAGTTATGTGCAGTAAGGGATGTGATCAGATGTGTCGTAAAACGTGATGTTGTCGTAACTTTCATATCAAAATTACTTTTTTCAGAATTATACAATGGCCATATAGCAGAGGATGTATACAATGGCCATATAACTTCTTGATATAAGCAAGAAAGGTCAAGTCTGACGGTAAAAAGGTTCGAATAGCTTAACACGGCAATGCGCTAATCAGTGTAGATCATTATAGAAAGTTACTGTTTATTTCGTCGAGGCTCTAATGAAGAAAATAATAAAAGTGCACAAAGCACGTATTGAAACAGCAACGTATTTGTTCGCAGTAGATTACCGTAGCGTAACGAGATTCTGATCGGGTCCAATGTTATTAGGATTTAAGCGCCACCGCG